GATTCACTGCAAACAATATTATGTGAAATCATTTAACCTGTCTGAGGCAGAATTTTCCCATCTTTAAAAAGAAGAAGTCATGGAATTGTGGCAAACAAATTGAATCTAAAATTATAACTGGGTACACTTTACAGTCCTATGCATGTAATGCAGTTTTATGTAAATGAATAGTTAAAATGATTCTTTTATCACTTATTACCAATCTACTACTTCTTCCTTTGTTGTTTCATTGTATTTTTATCATCTCCTCCCACTAGTATGTATGCTGCATGAGGTGGAGACCTTGTGTGTGTTGCTCATTACAGGTTCACCAGCATCTAAAGCCCCAAGGATACACAAAGACAATTAGTGAACACTAATTGAATTAATTAATATTTTTGTAAGGAAGTGGGAAAAAACCTATCTTAATTAGTGCTTTCAAAATGATATCCATGGCCCTCCTGAATTCAGATTGCCCTATGTACTTGCTGATAGAGAATAGTGAGGTTCACCTCACACCCATCAAATCAGAAGCTCCCTGGGTAAAGTCAGAGGGGAACTTGTCCATTCTCACTGCAAGTCCCCTGCAGTAAATTTTGTCTACAGGAATGAGAAACCATAAAGCTTTGCTCTTAGTAATTATGGCCACTCATGAGGCCCATACCCATGTAAGGCTTGGTGCCGGCCATGGTAGTGATCCGCATCTCCTTGGGCAGCATGGCAGCAATGTTGAAATCTGTGATGTGCACATGTCCTGGGGAGAGAGAAAGACCACAGAGATGTTAAGTCCCATTCAACCCAGTGACATAATTGTTTGTCTAACTGAAAGCACTTATAAACTTGGTCTTTCTTGTATGCTGGGTACAGGCAATAAAAGCTTACTTATTCCATCCTCACAGCCACCATAATCTTAAACCAGCAATTCCTCAGAAGCCAGAGCATGACAGGGCATTGACTAGTCACTGCTTTGAACTTGAAATTCAACCTCCGAATATCTTAACCTTAGTAGTTGAGTTCATGTTCTGGTAATTCTACTTAGGCAAATTTTGTCTATTGGCAGCATTTTAAGTTGTTTAGGCTATGAGTATCAAGAGTGAGACAGCCAAGAGCTAATCAAAGTGTCACAATCCCAAGCATATCTTATGGGATCTTAAAAAAAAAA